GCTTGCCAAATGGTTGCATACATTTAGGCATATGCATAGTAAGAGGAAATGCGCTACAATTGATTATTACTTCCGATTATTTAAACTCCGCACATGCATACGGCTTTGTACCTATGTATGTACAGAAATATGTATGTACTCATTTGTTGCAACTGGGCATGAATCACGTAACTTTGAAACGATAGTCGTTCAAACGATACTGACAAAACGATGTTGTCAAAACACTGATTTATGCATTTGTATTGCGGTTACGTGTTAATAGCCGTCATCGATTCGCCACTTCGCTGCTTGCTATGTTTGAGTTCCGGTCGCTTAACGAAAAATTTTTGCATGTGAAAGCAACAACAAAGTTAGCTAGCACGGATATACGATAGCGAGTTTGGTTGTACCTCATTGTATTCGTTCGTTTCGCCACTCGCTAACTGTTGGCGAATCGATGACGGCTACAGTTACTGTTACGTGAAGCAAAACTGGAATCGAGTTGACGATATCGCACAAACGATCAAACAATTTTTGATTTTTATGAAACAAGACAATCTCGACACGATACCGTTCAGACGAATGTCGTCATACGTGATTCATGCCCTGGTTTTGATATTCGTAGATGGTTTTAGGCATAGGTTTAGTAGTCTATTTTGGTAAATTTAGGAATATGAAATGTAAATTTAGGAAGAAATGCTCAAACTATAAGCTCAAAAACAATAACTGATGCGGTGTTTCTAAGATATTTTAACGCCCTTGAGTCACAAGTATATACAAGTATATTTTATCAATCATACCGATAATTTCATGTATTAAAATAATTAAAAATGAAAATGAATAAAAAAAATTAAATCAGAAAAATTAATAAAATTAAGTGAAATTAATGTTTAATTTCTACACCTTTTCAACCCAGTAATGAGAAAACGTAAATTATAATGAGAATACGTAAATTTATAATGAGAAAACGTAACTTAGTATTGAGAAAATGTAAATTATATTGAGAATACGTAAATTAATAATGAGAAAACGTAAATAGTAATGAGAAAAAGTAAATTGATAATGGGAAATTGTAAATTTATAATGAGATAACGTAAATTTTAATGAAAGGTAATAATGAAAAGATAAAAGAAGTAAATTTATAATGAGAAAACGTAAATTTATAATGAGAAAACGTTAATTTATAATGACATCGGGTTTACTGCTTTGAGGTTTTGAACTTTAATTATTTGAATTTCATCTAATTGTGAAAGTAGGCGTCTCACTCGTAGTTTTTTCATTGCGCCCAATGAAACGTAACTACATACATATAGACATTTGTACGTAAAAATGCAGTTTCAAGACGATTGTGCGATTTGTCTTACAAATATGAAGTATAGCAGTGTTTCGCGTATATTAAACTGCAAACATTTATTCCATTCAAAGTGTATTGCACCAATTGTATCGCGGAATGAGACGTGCCCGATATGCAGAAATAATATTGTTGGTGAGTTTTGATATTCATAAGTATTCCGAAGTAGCTTCTTATTTCTGCATAATGACGTAATTATCTTGATTTTTCCAGGAACACAGATTTGTGAGAGGAAAATTTATAAAAAAATACCGAGCAAGACAGGGAAAGGGTGATGAATGCTGCTACACGAGGAGAAGATTGGGTCAAGCTTGCTCTTAACCTTGGCGTTAACTACAAAACTGCACACCGATGGATTTGCAGTGGAAGCTGCACAATGAAACAAAAAACGAATGAAAGGCCCAAAAAAATGTTGAATGATCATTTAATAAAAATTGTTGAATGGCTGGAAGAGGATTGCGGACTAACCCTACTTCAGCTAAAACAAAAACTGTTCAGGGTTTTTGGTGTCGAAGTTAGCACAACAACTGTTGGGAACCATCTTGAAGGTATGTGCTATAGTGTGAAAAAAGTTCACACACAGCCTACAACGATGAACAGCGAGGAAAATAGAGAGAAAAGAGCAGTATATGTCCGGAAGATAAATGCCTTTATACAGCAAGGAAAGCAAATTGTTTGGATTGACGAAACTAATTTCAATTTGTTTTGCCGACTTTCGCGTGGAAGATCTAAAGTAGGGCGGCGGGCAATACAAGCATTGCCAGCAGCGCGTGGTCCAAATGTCCACGTTATAGGAGCCATTACAGCATCAAGTATTTTGCTAATGGACCGAAGGAGAGGTTCCTTCACAGCCAACAGCTGCAGTGATTGGATTCTGCAGCTCGTACAAAAGTGGCAACAGTTGGGAAACAATTTGCAAGATTTGGTAATTGTGTGCGATAACGCTCCTTGCCACTCAAGAATCGAGGCTGCGGTAGCCCAGCATTCTGATGGTATGTCGGCCGTCTTACGTTTGGGTCCGTATTCGCCTATGCTCAATCCTATTGAGATTATTTGGTCTAAGTTTAAAACCGAGGTGAAGACGACTCTTCGCATACCCATTGTAAATGGCGCAGGATTGTGTGAACAGCGGCTCCAATATTTAGAAAAAACAGTAGACGACGCAAAGCTGAAACTATCAGGAGGGGATTGCGCAAGAGCTGTGCAGCACACAACAACATTTCACGCAGATGCACTTGCGTTGCAAAACATTGGAGTGGGTGAATAATGGCTGAAGGACAAATAATGGAAGAAACCCAGTTCTCATTACTTATTTACGTATTCCCATTATAAATTTACGTTTTCTCATTATAAATTTACCTTTTCTCATTACAAATTTACGTTATCTCATTATAAATTTACAATTTCCCATTATCAATTTACTTTTTCTCATTACTATTTACGTTTTCTCATTATTAATTTACGTTTTCTCATTATAATTTACGTAATCTCAATACAAAGTTACTTATTCTCAATACAATTTACGTTTTCTCATTGTAAACTTACGTTTTGTCATTACTGGGTTGAAAAGGAGTAGACTTTTTTTGTATGGGGAGTGATGCAGTCCAATGTACATTAGAGTGGTCAAAATTTTGTATGGAGGAAAACATTTTCATTTCATTTTCATTGGGTTTTTTTCCTTTGATATTTGTGATATCTATGGCAGCTTTAAATTTTCTACTGTTACCAATACAGGGTGTTCATGGACCTTGAATTGCGCTACTGAGTCCCTTCGAAACTGACAAAAATATTGTTATTAATAATATGGTAATGATAATAATGCGATGACATTGTAATATTTTTTAAGCTAATTTAAGTTTGAAATGTTCTTAGGTCGTTTAACGAATTGTTTGGTTAATATATGTCCTACATACTTCTAGAGTAAAATATAAACATTTTATGAGCAACCTCTAAATTTAAAAGTACTTAGAAACGTCAAGTTTGGTGCCAAGCACCACTTTCAGCAAGAGAGAAGGTGCCCCCAACCCTATCTCGGAAAATATAAGTGCATTAGGGCGGATCTATATTTTATATTATTCTATATTTTTTTGCTATGCGTGTAATTCTAACCAAATTTTCCATAGAAACTTGGATCGAAAATCAATTTAGAGTTTCCTCATACCAAAAACCCATATAGCATGTTGTTATACAAAATTTAAGCAGGTCTTTACGACACTACACCAAAATGCCAAGAAACCTATTTTCTCAATTTTGCAAACTCTAGAATTATACACATGTACAATTCTTCTGTGCCCTAGGCTCACAGTCGAAAAAATCTCCCATAGAGGTTGACCCGCCCTAATGTACATATATTTAACTGAAAACATATGCATGAATATACATAGCGTAAATGCCAGTGGCTCCCTTGGCACCTAGTGGCCACATTAAGCGGATACAGTCCAAAGCCGTTAAGATGATTCATTTGCAATCGCGGCGCGTGAATGCGAGCGGTTGGGTCATAAAGCGAAGATCAACTGGAGACAATTTTGAACACTTACACACAGAAACCTGTATACTACTGGAACACTGGGATGCCTCATAACAACATATTGCTGCTTTTTAATTTTTTACAGGCGGTTCTTAAATGTGAAGGTATGGGAACTGCTTTATTCTGGGCGGAGCTGTAGCTCAAGCGTGTGTATTTAAGTATAAAAGAACTTTGCATTTGGATCAACGAAAAAACGATGCTACGATTTTTTTTGTTGTTTATCACCAACATATGTATGTATTTAAAATGCAACACCAAGGGCACTCTAGAACATCGTCTATGTGAGCTTTTGGATTATCGAGATTTAGGCTCCAGCGATGGCAAATCAAATATTCAAATTTTACTTAATTTGAGGAAACAAATTTACCTATAAGCTAAGGAACGTACCTAGAAAATTAAAATGTAGAGTACGAAAATACGACGGGAATCTTCCATGGCCGATTTTGGGATTCACCTTCTCTAATACGTTAAACTCAGTTCTAACTGGAAGATTGCTTTGATGCTAACCAAAGTTATAGACAAGGCGAATCATTATACATATTGCCTCAACCGCTGGTTATGTGCTACAACAACTTGCCACCACGCACTGTGGCTCTTTTACTATGCTTCTGAAACATTTTCTCGCCCACACCCTCTATGCGTATAAGCCAAGCTCTCGCATTCGCTTGGTCTCTTCGTATGGCGCCAAAATGTTGATTAAGCGTGTAAAAGATCTACTACATAATTTACGTAAATCAGTCGATATGCTCTTATTGAGCCTCGACCGTCAGACCGTCTGAAACCTTTTTTTTATGGGCGAGAACCCATGGTAGCGCGCTTCGTAATGCAGAGTCGAAACAGTCGGAAGCAGAATTGCCAAAAGCTACGAGAGTGGGCGTCCATAAATCGCGCAAGTAACTACTTTAGTAACTCCTGGTAGTGCAGAGAGAGCCGATGGCGACTACCGCCTAGGACATTGCCTTATAAAGGTAATCGCTGAAATACAAGGCAAGTAGTCGAACGGTAATCGACGGAGCTTACTTGGTTGCCACCGATACACAACCGGTTTCCTGCGGCTTTCGTGTTTCGGCCCATCTGAATGGACTTGTATGCCGATGCTCATTAGTTCCATTTGAAAATGTGTTTCCACTAATTCCACATTTAAAGCAGTTATATTTGAACCTCTCGAGCCTTCACTGAACCATAAGAAAGAAGAAACAAATATTACTTTAGCGGAGAACGAGAAACAAACAAAGGGAGCACGAGACTATTGACAGCATTACTTTGAAACTACAAAGAACTTTGTTCACAATAAATATACTGTCAGTCAGAGAGCTGCCTAGTTAGGCTAAGGAGGGCCTTCTAAACGAACAGAAATCAAGCTTAACAGATCTCTGATCATTTTTATATATAATTTCCATTGCAATTATCAAAAACTAAACTAAATCTGCCTTATAGTAAACGAACTGTTGGAAGCATTTGTGTATTACTAGTATTTAAGATTTTTTTTCTAAAGAGTTTTACCCCATTTGACCAACCTGCCACATTGACAGCAGACGTTCGCCTACTCGGCACCTCATGCGTCTCTCTTATTATCTGGTTTAGCAGCTCCTTCTCTGCAGATATCCAGCTTTCGACGGTAATCTGTACATAGGTCTGCAGTTCAGAGGCACCACCGCCAGATACTACCTGGCTATCGCACTCAGTTTTGGCGGCAGGCAGCCGAAATCCATCTTTTCTGACCCCCGGCTTATCGCCTTGCTCGCCGCTCTACTGCTTTGCCGCCTCGAAGGTCCACGCTCTGTCGTCATCATTTTGTCAGTTTTCGGCCGGCCCCTTGCAGCGCTTATGCTCGATTTTCGCTTGCTAACCCAAAGGCTCTTACCATCGCCGACTTGCCGTCGTTCGCCTACCTTAGAGCTTTGGTAGTCGACCTTTCTTCCTTGCCACTCTTGTGTCGTTTGGTTGAGGTTTTCTCATCATTCCGACGGGTCCCGCTTCGTCAGTCCCTCGCGTAGCCTGCACCTCCTCCTCGATGGCGTACCTGGGATCACTGGACGCGAATCTTAGGCTGTCGAACCACATTCGTCCCACCTGAACAGCTCCTCTGGGCCACACCACGCGCACGTTTCATGGTCCTTAGGATCCACTACCGCGTTAAATTATGTTTAGCCCCGCTTTGTACTACGATAAGGCTCTTTTCTCCTCTCTATTCCGCACTTTCTTACCCTCATTACACTCGATCTTAACGGGACTCGACAAAAGCTTCCTCTCCCTAATGAAGTTATCCAAGTCTGGGTCTTCACCTGTCGCATCTCGCTTGGGAACACTTAAGAGCGACTCACTCTTCCTGTCATCCGTCCCAACTTCTCTTCTCTTCTCATATTTTTTATCGAGTTGTTTTATTTTTTTTTTAGTTTTATTCATCTTGGTCGTACGACCACCTCCCCGACGAGGCGGACCCAGTGGTCAAAAATAGTGGCGGGGAAACAAATAGTTTGCCGCAGTAGCGCTCCTTGCCGCGGTAAGGCCACCGTTTCGTCCAGATGCGGCCTGACGTCAGGAAGGCTCCCTTAAGAAACAGTCGATATTGTAGACATAGGCGCGATCGACGCATAACATCCTGGATTATGGGGTTGGGAGTTCTTGGTCACTATTCACCCGTGGCTCGGAAGCCGGACCGATGCTCCGATCCTGCAGCAATTTGAATGGCAATTCAGATAAGCAAACTTTTTTAAAACAATCATTT